CGTTGTTAGTATCGCCTTCGGTGGATTTCCCGATGGGGCCACTAGGCGCGTGAAGAGTTTGCCGAAATGGGGCGGGGCCGCCATGCGGGCGCTTCTCTTGGGGCCTGATGTAGAGTCTCTTTTGTTCTCTGGGGCCACACAATATATGACGGACGTGCCGAAATGGGGCGGGAAGCTATGCGGGCGTTGTCGCTGGGGCCTTTGGTGAAGCTCCCTTTGGGGCCACGAAACGTGCGAGGGGCGAGCGACGATGATGGCGATGTCTTAAACGATGCGCAGGAACGAAGCAGGGATGGGAGGGCGGAGGATGAGGATCAAGAGGAGGACGAAGAGGAAGAGGAGGTGGATGAAGAGGAGGTGGCGGAGGAGGGGGAGCTGCGAGTATCGCGATGCAGGTGAGATGAAGGGGGGGAGCGAGCAAAACGGACAACCAAGGACGGAATTTGGCATAACAGAGAGGGGGGTAGAGGACAAGCAGGGCGGAGCTCCCCACGGGGCCACGACGCGTATGGTGTGTGTGTGTGTGTGTGTGTGTGTGTGTGTGTGTGTGTGTGTGTGTGTGTGTGTGTGTGTGTGTGTGTGTGTGTGTGTGTGTGTGTGTGTTTGTGTGTGTGTGTGCGTGCGTGCGTGCGTGCGTGCGTGCGTGCGTGCGTGCGTGTGTGTGTGTGTGTGTGTGCTAAAATAGGGTTGTGCCGCCATGCGGATTGCGCCATTGAGACATTAGGTGGAGTTCCCTTTGGGGCCACGAAGCGTGTGTGGAGTGTGTGTGTGTGTGTGTGTGTGGTAAAATCGGGCGGCGCCGCCATGCGGACTGCGCAATTGAGTCCCCAGGTGGATTTTCCTATGGGGCCACGAAGCGTGTGAGGGGTGTGTCAAAATTGGGCGTTGCCGCCATGCAGACTGCGCCACTAGGACATGAGGTGGGGCTCCCCATGGGGCCACGAAGCGTATGAGGGGTGTGTCAAAATTGGGCGGTGCCGCCTTGCCGATTGCGCCATTGGGGCTTAAGGCGGAGCTCCCTAGTGCCACGAAACGTGTGAGGGGTGCTCCAAAATGGGGCGGCGCTGCCATGCGGACCGCGCCACTGGGACCCTTGGTGGAGCTCCCTATGGGACCACGGAGCGTGTGAGGGGTGTGCCAAAATTGGGCGGCGCCGCCATGCGGACTGCGCCATTGGGACCTTAGGTGGAACTCCCTATGGGGCCACGAAGCGTGTGAATGGTGTGCCAAAATTGGGCGGCGGCGCCATGCTGCCTGCGCCATTGGGACCTTAGGTGGAACTCCCTATGGGGCCACGAAATGTGTAATGGGTGTGCCACAAATGGGGCGGCGCCGACATGCGGATTGCGCCACTGGGACCTTAGGTGAAGCTCCCTATGGGGCCTATCGCCAATCAATCGGCGATGTGTCTCCGATTCCAGCTTCCTCTGGGAGCGGCCCTTCGCGGGAGCGACCTCTCTGAGGGAAAAGCGAACATGGATTCAGGCGCGAGGGTTAGCGACGGGTCCCGCTTCCATGCGAAATCGGCGCGCTCCGTCGCCAATCAGGTGGCATTGGTTTCATGTTTCGGGTGGTACTTTCCCCGATCCGTGAATTGGCGCCCGCGACCCCAGATCCACGGATCCATAATCCATGCTGGCGTGCGTTCAATTTTGATGCGGGCACATTGGGGACACCTCGGCACTGGCCAGCATGCTTGGATTTGGCCCCCGCGACCCCCTAGAGTTGCGCAACAAAGGTTACTCGTGCTTAGGGTCTTCTTGCGTGTAGCCGATCGTCTGGTCACCCAGAGTGCCTCCACGAACCACGCGAGCCCCCCAAATCAAGGCATTTACATAATCTTTCGGAGGTCCCCAGGGATCTCTTGGATCGGCGCTGGACCCCCCTTTGTGACTCCTCCGGCGCCGCCCATTGGCGCACTCCGCGCGCCATGGAGGAGGTCCAGCACCGATCCAAGCCATCCACGCGAACTTACCAAAGTGTGTGTTCGTGGTTGCTTTTCGTGCATTTGCCACCATTTCGACCCGACCGATCTGATTCAATATCGATTCTGACCAGACCGATCCGAGTCGATTCAGATATATTCTGGCAATCCGATGCGGCCCGATGTAAGCGAGGCCGATAGGCTTTGATTCCGACTCCGTGCCGATGCAGCCCGATCCGACGCACCGCCAGTTGCAATATTGTTTCTCGATTCGATGTTGGTTAATCCCGGCTCCGTCCTTGAGTTTCTGGTCTGGGGTTTGCGTTGGGGCTCAAAGAATAAGAAATGCGCTACCGATGGCTCCCACATGCCTAGTTTAGGTCCTGCGTGGGCATTTCATATTGCACCATGCTTTGTTCGAAGCTGATATGGGCGTGCGTCCTTGTGATCAGGCAAAGCGTTCGGCACTGATTTCCTGGTGCCACGCCTGCCACGCTTTGCGAGTGTACGGCGGATATGCAGCCCCTCTTGAGTTCAGGAAGTGCCACGCCTGTCACGCGTTGCGAGCCTACGATGGTGAGCACCCCAACCCCCTGCGCACCCCCTCTGGTGCCCAGGAAGTGCCACCGCCGTGGTCTGTCGCCACCTTCCCAACGATCTCCGAAGGGGCGTCCTCGGGAAATCCGATCGCGGCAGGGTCCAGCAAGTACGTTACCAAGCACTGCCTCTTGTCATAGTCATTCGCCCCTGTGCTCAACTCGTCGCACCGGATAAGAAGCGTGTCAGGCCACCATTTGGTAGGTTGTCGGTTTACGCTGCGGACATCGTCCGCGCCTAGCTTCAACCAGGTAGGCAGGGCCTTGGCCTCAGAAATCTTGCGTGCTTGGACAGCTCGCGCTGCGAGACACGTGTACGTAGCGCCCTGCAGATGCGGATAAGAGTGAGGGGGCGGTGGGGACGTCGGCAGTTTGCGAGACTCTGGAGAAACCCGCCGCAGGCGCCAAAGTTTCACAAATCATAAGACGAGCCCGCCGCAGGCGCCGATTTTTTCATTAAACCAATTTGGGTAGGTCGCGGGTGCGTCGCAAATGAGTTGCCGGTGGGTCACTGTTGGGTCGCGGGTGGGTCGCGGGTGTAGAGGGCAGAACATCTACCCCATAAAAATCACCCCGACAAGCGAAGCCGTTTTGCAAGCGCACGCGAGGAATGAAACGAACAGGGCAGGGCTGTTTAGTAAACGCCCAGGGCCGTTTAGTAAACGTAGATTGTCGGGTCCGGATGGTTTTCCCTCCCTTGAGGGGTCGAGGGGTGGGTCGCGGGTGGGTGGCGGGTGGGTCGCGGGGTGGGTCGCGGGTGGGTCGCGGATGAGTCGCGGATGGATCGCGGGGTGTGTCGCGAGTGGGTCGCGGGGTGGGTCGCGGGTGGGTCGCGGGTGGGTCGCGGGTGGGCCGCGGGGTGGGTCGCGGGTGAGTCGCCGGGTGGGTCGCGGGTGGGTCGCGGGGTGGGTCGCGGGTGGGATGACGACAACAACAACAGCTACAAGTACAATTACAACAACAACTGCAACAACAACGCAACAATCAGAATTCTCACCACGAATTCCCTATTCAGCCACGCATCCAGGGACAATGAGTGACCGTTCGGCCCCCTCACTCTGATAAAAAGCTATGAGGGGAGGGACGGGGGGGGGAAGGTGCTTGAGGTCGATGCCGGCATGCTGCACGGGATGTTCGTGTGTGTCGATGCGGGGGAGGATGGAGGGAGGGAGGTGGCAAACATCTTTGTTGCCGATGTCTGCGCGGATAGTGGGAGTTCGTGTTAATGGTCTTGGTCCTGTGTGCGTGTTGGTGCGGGGTCGGTGTAGTGATGCTCGAGTGCCGTCCATGGGTTAGGTGTCCTCGACTGTTCGCGTCCGTGTGATGTCGTTTGGTTCGCCTTTCGAGTGGGTATGTGCGGGCGGGCGGTGGAGGTCTGGTCCGCGTTGGCGTAAGCAAGCGTTGACTTCGTCGTCCCAACGCTTGCGTTGGCAACCGTGCTGCCTCTGGCCCCGCTTGCGCGGGTTGAGGTTAGGTTGCCATTGAAGCATTTGCCACGTCCACCATGTGCGGTCATGGCTTGCGACCCTGGAAGACATGCGCCATACTTTTTCGCTTGTGCACCGTCGCCCAGTTGTCGATGCGGTGGAGCTTCTTGAGGTTATCTGCCCGTCGTGTCGCTCGCTGAATGCATGCAACCCAAGATATCCACCGTGTCCACTGAGCTCTTGTCTTCGCCGTCCTCGCTGTGCAAGCCAGGTGTGGCAGGCGTGTCGCAATTTGACCAGAAGGGTCCCGTGCTCGGTCAGTCGGACCAGACGCTAGCCTGTCAGGCTGACATCGGCGCCATTCTCAACCATATGGGCCTTTAGCTGCAAGCGTGGACGCAGCAGCTCTGTGAGAGCACATTTGGGCGGCATCCCTTCGAACGGCCACCTCCGCCGCGCCTGTGTGGAAACCTCATTGGCAGGCTATTGTCGAAACTGCATCATCATAGACTTTCGACGGTCCGCTCGGATTTCTTGGACCTGCGCTGTACCTCTCTCCCTGGCACGCGGAGCGTGCCAGGGATTGCGCCGGAGGCGACGCCACCAAACAGCCCCTCGCAGGCGTCAAAGTTGCCTCCAGAAGTCTTGAGAGGTCGCCGAGAGGCCGCCCACGAGATCCCAACGAACGTCCAAGAGGCCTCTCACCCGCAACCCAGGCACGGTGGCGGGGTGGGCCGATGATCATCAGCTGCTGCGGGATGGTTGTGCAGTCGACCTGCATAGTTAGGATGGGCCACCCTCCCAAGGGTACCCTTGCATCCTTGCCTCCTCGGCCCATCCTTGGCCACTTTCGTTGGCCGCGCCCCGCTCGAAAAGCTTCGAAATGGGCGTCCAGGGCCCTTGCGTCCTTATCGCGCATCCTGACTATACTGGTTGACTGCAGGAGATGCTCGGGTCGGACGCACACTCCCGAGGAGGGCACGCAGTGCGCAGTATGTCCTTGTGCGTCACAGGAAGGCGCGGTGCGCTCGGCCGCCCGGACGGCCCCCGCAGGAGCTGCACCTGGCCACGCAGTCGGCGACGTCGCGGCAGTCGCCCAGGAGGCGGCGTGCCCTTCGATGCGAAAGGGGCGGCCTCCCTCCTGTCGGCTGCCTCCTTTCTGCCTCGTTCCTCATCTCTCCTTCCACAATTATGTACACAACATGCATACTACTCTCCTCTCTCCCCTGGTGACGTCCGGGAAATATTCGGCCCCCCCCTCCGCGTCCTGGTTTTTTTACAGGATTCCCAGGAAACGGGTTTTCGCTTAGTTTTGTTCGAAATGATGCTCTCGCTGAAGCGCTGGCTTCATTTTCGGGCTACTGCTAGTTCCAAAACATGCTCACGCTGCAGCGTTGGCCTCATTTTTGCGCTTCCGCTCGTTCCGAATCGTGCTCCCGCTACAGCGTTGGTGTCATTATTTCCAGCGCTATGCCTCGGCATGGTTTTCGATCCGTCTAAATAGGCTCCAAATCTATAGAATGATCACCGAAACAACCATCGGAAGTGATTGCACATTCGGTGTCGATTCGTTGGTTTTCTGGGCCGCAGAAGCTCCCCCCCCATTTTGGGGCGTCGCCATGCCATACTATGTCAGGCTACGCGTTGATCTTCAACACCATGGTATGCCATGTAATGCTATGCCATGCTACGAGATCGGACTCTGCGAATAGAGAGGAGATCTGAGGGAGGGGTAGGACGTCAGATATGACGCGAGCGCATCTAGATTGTCCTCCCCTCTCCCTCCTCCGCCTCCTGCCTCCCTCCTCCTGCCTCCCTGCTCCGGTTGTCCTCCCTCCTCCTACCTCCTCCTCTTCTTCCTCTTCCTTGTCCTCCTCCTCTTCTTCGTCCTCCTCCTCCTCCTCCTCCTCCTCCTCCTCCCTACTCCTCCCTCAAGCAATTCTGGCACCAGCAGGTGGAAGGGTACACAGGGTACACATACCTCACACACTATTTGCTCTTGCGTGTGTCAGGTTCCCGCCTTCGCGTTGGCGCTTGGGGTGCACCGAGGCAGCACAACCTCGTGCCTTTCTCGGTGGCGAAGCGGGGCGAATCAGGTCCTTTCTTTCCCGACGACAGCCTCTTTAACATACGCCTGGTCAACGTGCCGAGGGTGCGGAAGAGCCGAGTGGAACAGCGTGCTGATCGAGAGTGGCCGCAAAATGCCATAAGTGCGGACGCTTGGTCAAACTCAATCAGGACCGCAACGGTCAGGATAAGGATAAGAGTCAGTCCAAAGTTCAGGGGAGCAGCGCTGGTGGCGGACAACTCGTAGGACTGCTGGCCTTGAGTTCGCACAATACCACGTTGGAAGCTGCTCTCGCCATCACCACCGATCAGACCTTGAAGACGGCGATGCTCGGGCAGGTCGGGCTCCTTCGTCTACAGGCTGCCCAGGTGGACGCCCCCTTCACCCGAGGAGACGGCCCGCAAAGCCGAATGGCGCTGTCAAGGACGCGCAGACGAATCACGACCAGGCCTTCGCAACCCTCGAGAGGTGCCGCGGGAGGTTAGCACGGGCTGAAGGAAAGGAACGCACGTGTGCTCTCGTAGTGGCCGCAGCAATCGAGTCCAAGCAGCTCGCGACGCACGCGCTCGCCTCCAAGGTCGGCGTCATCCCGTCGGAGCATGCGGCTAAGGAGAGCGGGGCCAGAGACACACTTTTCGAGATAACGTGGGACGAGTCCTTCGCGAATTCAGACAACTTTGAGGCCGAAGAGTCGGAGAGGGCAGTTTTTGAGGAAGCTCGAGTCCGAATTGAAGGACGCCTGGACGCAGGTCACGACCAAGAACACAGAGGTCGCCACGCGGCTCACGAGAGCCACGGAGCTACAGACGTTGATCGAAAAATACATGGCCGCGAAGAGGCGCGGCGCTGATGGCGACACTGTCGGCAGCCAGCCCGTCGAAGCGGCCCCGCCTGACAGCGTGGGCGGCAGTGGCGGGCGCTCCGGCAGCAGCGCGTCCAACGAGGGCGGCGCGGCAGCCTCCAGCGGCGGCCACAACGACGCCCAGAAGGCCGATCAAGGGATGCGGATCGAGACGGCGGCGGCGAAGATCACAGCACCCAAAAAGGCCACGGCGCAGGCGGCAAAGCAGGCGGTCGCCACGCCCGCGCCGAGCTGAGTCACAGGGTGCGTTCCCGCGGGCGGTGCCGCCGCGGTGGGCGACGCGACCCCCTCGGGCCCATGGGGAGTTGATGGTGGGAGCGCTACCTCATCGCAATCGACCTCTTCAGCTCATACTACCTTATCTTATACGAGCGCTCGTGGTGCACAGCAGTTTCGTTTGAAGGTGTTTCAGGGTGCAAGCTTGCCTCAGTCTCATTCCTGTTGTTTGGCAAAGCGGGGGGTGCGATTATATCACAGGGCCAGCGCGCGCCCCGTTGCATTGCTTCTGTTCAGGTGAGACTCACTCCGGGCCAGGCCCTGACAGCATGCATAGGAGACAGCAGGCGCAGAATGGCCGACCCAAGCTGATCGACAATTCAGCACGACCGTCGGGGAAGGAGAAGACGAGCGCCAGTAAGGACAAGGCCAAAGAGGGTGCGAAGTGGACTTTGCGTCGCCAGCGCCTCCAAGCTCAACGACGGCCCAGCCCCTCCGACGCGGTCACTCACGACCTCCATGCCCCAGGTGCCAGCGCCTACGATGGGTTCTCCGTGGCATCTACTCGGTCGTCGCCGTCGCTTTCTACGGGCTCAGCTCCGACGGGGCGGGCGGACGAATCTTTCTTCGATTCGCTGGACTTGGAGCTCTCGTTTCAAAGGTTCGACTTCCCTGGTTTAGCATTGGCGATTTCGAAGCTGAGCCGCAGGTGCCCATTCGGAACGGTTTCGCGGAAATGGTGGGGGGGGGTCATATTCGCGCCTGACGCGGGGCACGCGTGCGCCTCAGGGAAAGGGGCCACGTTGGATTGCATCGTCGCCAGCCACTCGAGCGTGCCGCGCACCGCTCAGGCTTCGGCGGCCCTTGCGCCCCCCTGGAGGCCACGCTGTGGAGCGCCCCTTCGTCTTCGCAGTTCGGGGCGCCAGCGGCAGCGCCACGGGCTCGTCGCAGCAGCCAACTGCCCCGAGAACCTCGACCCAGGGCCCGGCCCGCCCCGGGGCCCAGAGCCAGCGGGCCCGCGGTGCAGCAGCTCGGGAGCTCGCGCGCGAGAGGCAGGCAGCAGTAGTGCATGAGACGTTCGGGGATCTATCGACTCCCAGTTATGACGCGCCTTTCGGTGGCCAGCCTAGCCAGTCCAGCTTGTCTTCAGCCGCCGGCGCAGCTGCCGCGCCCCAGAGCGTCTCGGCCGAGCCGCGAAGGGGCCCAGCGGCGCATGACTGCGACGACGAATTGCATATGCCGCTTGATTTGTTTAAAGTACCCGCGGCTGACCCCGCCGCCGCCTGGGCCCGCGCCGCGGCGGGGGCCCGCTTCGCTTGGGCGCGCCGCGCGACCGCAGAAGAGAATCGCCGCGGACTGGAAGTGCAAGAAAGGGCGGTGGAAGCCTCGCCTCGTCGCTGCTGAGGAGACGGGCGCGCCCCCGCTCGAGGCGGCGCAGTCATGCGCGGGGCAGGGGCGAGCGAGGGGCGGCGCTGGGCCGCGCGCGCCGACGCGGCGAGGTCGCGCGCGCGGATCCTGGAGACGCGGCGCAGAGGTCCACTGCGCGCGCGGGGCCCGTGGCCCGCGACGATCGGGCGCTTCGGCGGCCGCGCGAACGACAGGCCCCCCCGAGCCGCGCGGACCGACGGTGCCCGACCATGCCGTCGCGTCATACGGGGGTTGGAGCTCGCGACGGGCACGGGCCGGCAGACTCTCTCCACTCGACTCGAGGCAAAGCGGGCCGTCGCGAACATCGAGACGGTCGCCTGCGCGGGCGAGGGCACGACGCCGGGCAGCATTGTTCCTTGCAGTTCCCCAGCCGGTGCATGGGGGCCCCGGCGCAGCTGGCCACGGGCGAGGGCCCCCCCCCCCCCCCCCTCAAGGGGGAGGGCGCAGGCGCGAGCGGCGGCGGGGTTCCACGCGACCCCTCGGGACGGGGGCCCGGCCCGCGTGCTGCTGGCGCGTCGCCGCCCCCAGCCCTTCCCCGCGCGCCCCCGCCCGCGGCCGCGCGCGGCGCGCGACTGCTCGCGGAGGCCCGCGGCGGCAAGGGGGGCATCGGGCCGGCGCGTTCGAAGGCGAGATTTGCGGCGGGGACGTCGGCATTACTTCGGCAGGCACGCCCCAGAGGGGGGGGGCATGTTTCTTTGGGCCGCGCTGCGGACGATCCCGGAAGCGCAGCGACGGGCCGTGGGACAGCCGCAGACGCCGACGACTTGGGCGGTCGAGCCGAAGCAAGCTTCAGGAAGGGCTTTCCCTCGCAGTTGCCATTGGAATATGTAGCTATTTTCTCGTTTCACGAATGGCCTACATTCCGCGCGAATGGCCCGCTGCCGGCCCCGCGAATGGCTTCGCCAATGGCCCGCTGATGGAGGTGGCCCACTGATGGCCCACTAACGACTTTGACCCGCTAATATCCCAGCTATGGGCCACTTATGACTTGGTAGCAATGTTTAACGCGCAATGGGGCCACCGTTAGCGCGCCATTTAGCTAGGTCCGCAGGCGCCGCGAGGCAGGGCCCTCCATGACAACCCAAGCTCACGAGGCATCGGAGCGCGCGCCCATTGCGTTGCGAGGCCACCCTGTCATAGCGCCTGTCGGCATCCTGGCGCAGAAGGTCGCGGCGCGGGGCGGCCTCTGGGCGAACGGAATTGGATTCTCTTTCGGCGGCGTCGCCCACGCCGCGCGCTCTAGGAGGCGGGGGCAGCGCGAGGCGCAGCAGGGCGCCGAGGGGCGGTCGGACGCGGCGCCGCCCTGTGGGGCGAGGAGGCGCCGGGCCCGCGGCGCCCGACCCCCGCGACAACGGCCCCTGTCTGGAGTTGCTGCTCTTCGAGCCGGGCGGCCGGGAAGTGGGGCTGGGCGGCGGCGAGCGAGGAGCTCGTCGGCGCGGGCAAGGCAGACTACCCGGATGGATGCTGGCGGCGCGGGGGCCCCTCGACGCGTTCCCCGGCATGAGGCTTTTTGTTCGATGCAGCGTTGCGCGCGCTCGACGCGATAATTCTGGCCGCCGGAGGGCGCCGCGCGCCGACCGCCGAGGAGAGGGCCGCCGTTCCGCAGGGGCAGTTCTGTTCAGCGCGCCACGGGCGAGGTCGCGCGGGAGGGGCGGGAACACTTGCGGCGCCCTTTGGCAGGAGGGCGCCAGCGAGGAGTCGGCAGCCCGCGAGCACTTCAGGGGGCGGCGCCCACCGCGCCCCCGACCCCGCATTCTCACCTTGGGAACCCTTCGGCCACCTTGGCGGGCGAAGGCCCCCTTGGGGGAGGCGAGGGTCGGGCGCGCAGCGGCCCCCGAAGCAGGGCTGGATGGGGGGGTCTTCAGCCGCCCGCCCGTGCGTTTTCGGGGCGGTCCCGAAGCCGCCGCGGTTGGGGTTGGCCCCCCTCCGTCTTCTCGGGGGCCCCCGCCGTTCCGCCGCGGTCGGGGGCGGGTGTCCAGGATAGAGGGGGGCCACAATCGCGGAGGACCCCAGGGGGGCTGGGCAGGGGCTCGGGGCCGCACGTCTCGGCCTCCGCGCGTGTACGAGCGGCGCGCAGTGGCAGCGGCGTCGAGAAAGAAATGCGAAGAAGGGGCGAGGTGAGAAGACGGCCGCCCCCCCGACGCTAGCAGTGTCCGGTGTGGGGGGCCCTGATCCTCCTCCCACCTCTGGGCTCATATTGCGAAGGCCTTACGGCCGATGCCGACCCTGAAGGGGGACGATGGACGACGACGACGACGGCGACGGCGACGGCGACGGCGACGGCGACGACGATCGCGAGTCCTTGTTGGGGCCTTCCCGGGCCCTCTTGGGCTGTCTTGGGGGGCCTTTGGGCCGTCTTGGGGCCTTCCCAGGCCATCCTGGCGTGTACTTGGGCCGTTCTGGGGAGCTCTCGGAGGCAACTGGGGCTGACGTGGAGCGCGTGAAGCCTGGAAGTCGAGCAGGCGAAAAATTATCCCAGTGCGACCCTACCTGGGAGTTGGAGCCTTTAGGAAAGCAGCATTAGGAGTAACAGTAAAGCTGAGGTAAAGCTAAGCTGCAGCTAAGCTACAGTAGGCTAAAGTTAAGCTAAAGCTAAGCTAAAGCTAAGCTAACGCTAAGCTCAAGCTACGCTAAGTATAAGCTACAGCTAAGCTAAATATAAGCTTAAGCTAAGCTAAAGCTAAAGCTAAGCTAAGTATAAGCTAAAGCTAAGCTAAAGCTAAGCTAAAGCTAAGCTAAGCTAAAGCTAAGCTAAAGCTAAGCTAAGCTAAAGCTAAGCTAACGCTAAGCTGACGCTAAGCTGAAGCTAAGCTAAAGCTAAGCCAACGCTAACTAAACTGAACATAAAATAATGCTGGCTAAAGCTAAGCTACAGCTAAGCTAAAGCTAAGCTAAAGGTAAAGCTAAGCTAGAGCTAAGTTAAAGCTAAGCTAAAGCTAAGCTAAAGTTAAGCTAGAGCTAAGCTAAAGCTAAGCTGCAGCTAAGTTAAAGCTAAGCTAAAGCTAAGTTAAAGCTAAGCGCTAAAGCTAAAGCTAAACGCTAAAGCTACAACTCCCAGGGGACTGGGGGAACCGTGGGGCGAGGAACGGGGGAACTGCCCGGGGCGCTGTCCATTGCCCGGCCCCTTTAAGCTAAGAGAGTAAGAACCCTTCTAGGCAGAGCCTGGGTAGGGAAAAACAAGTTCGATTTCGGGGCCTCCTGGTAGCCTCTTGGAGTGGGGAGCTTGAAATGTGGGTTGGTTTTCCCCCTCTTCGGCTTCTCTTTGGGGTGTTCCTGGGGCTCCCTTGGGCGCTCTCGGTCGGAGAAGGGGGAGGGGGGGGGCGTCACGATTCGCAGGACGCTTCCATAGACCCCGCGGGATCTTCTCCGTCTCACCCTCCCCCGGGACCTCCGGGGAAGGGATTACAGGAACGGGGTCCCCTTCGAGTCGATTACGCTGTTGTTCGATTCTCCTCTGGCTGGAGCGTTTGAGGGGGCGGGCCGAGGGAAGAGGGGGGGGTGGTTCTGGGAGGCTCATGCAGGTTTCAGGGTGGTGCGGTGGAAAAAAACGACGATGAGGAGGAGGAGGCAGAGGAGGAAGAGGAGGAGGATCGAGGATCGGGGTTCGAGTCGATGTTTCATTTTTCATGGTTTTTTTGGGGGGGGGGTTCTCTGGAAGCCTCCGAGGATTTCTGGGGACGTCCTGGAGGCGTCTTGGGCCGTCTTGGGGCCCTTTTGGGCCGTTAGGAAACGCTGTTGGGCGCCTCTTGGGGTGTCTCGGGGCGATATTGGGGGCCTCCTGGGCCGTCTTGGCGCGTTGGCAAACGTCAGAGGCAAGAGCGCTATAATCCTGCAACAACGTGTGGAACATCTACGATGTTTGCCTCTTGGGGCTCTCGTGGGAAAGCTCCTGGACGCCTCTTGAGGCGTCTTGCAGGCCTCTTGGGCCGTCTGGAAGCCGTGAAGGCGTCTTGGACAGATCGTCAGGCGAGTCGGGGTTCTCGTGGACTGTCAGTGTGGCACATTAGACCACACTTGGCCCTTTTTGGAACTCTTTTGAGCTCTGGGAATCCCCGGGAGAGCGTCGTATCGGACCCCCCCCCATGACCCCCCCACCTACCCCTCCCCCCCGGCAGGGGAGGGATCGAAGGGAAGGGGCTTCCCTTCGACTCCATTACGGCGTTCCTCAGCGCCTGGGAAAGGAGGGGAAGAGGACGACAGCCACGACGACAAACGAATGACGGGCTGAGGCGGTCCCTGGGAAAGGGGGGGAAGAGGACGACAGAGACGACGACAAACGAATGACTGAGATGACGACTCGAACGGACGAAGCCCCTCACACACGCCGACTGGGTCGGTGGATTTCCTTTCTCGTTTAAAAAAGGGAACGCTTCCATCGCAGGGAGGGGGCATCAAGTTCCTGGGAGTGGCAGGTGCCCGGCGCACATGCCACCGGGATATAAGGAGGGGGTCGCCGTCACGCCACTCTTTCACTTTGACCGCACCGGCATATATGGAAGGGGTCATCGAGGATACGCCCCCGTGTGCCAACACGAGTGTGTATCTCTCTCATTGCCCGACGCTTGTGGCCATTTGTGCTCAGGCGCTCGGCCGTTTCTGAATGACCCACCCACAACCGCCCTGGGGCATAAAGTTCCTTGGAGTGGCAGGCGCTCTGCGCTCAGGGCCCCCGGTGCTGGATCGCCTCCCTTTTAACCGCAATCGCACCGCGCCCCTAGATGGGTTCTCCGAGGATACCACCACGCGTTTGAACATGCCTCAGGTGTGCCCAATTGCGCTGCTGGGTACAGTCTCCGCAGAAAAACATCTATACGCCACAACTGCGCCTGGCCTGGACCATCCTCGGCCCTAGGACGGAGTATTAGAGCCTCCCTCCCGGCAGAGGCGATGGCTTTGCTCTTGCACGGTGGTGGTGTATGGATGCCCCCTGCGTGCAACCAGCTTTGCGCTTGGGGAAGCTGCGCAGCGAAGCCGTGCCGTAAGGTTGCATGGTGGTTGGCTGTTTATGATGTGTTTTTTGCTCGGGTCGTGGGGCGTTCCTACGGCATTGTTGTCAGTCGCACCATTTTCTATCACAGTCCCGTTTCTCGCGCTGCCCTTTTTTTCGTGTGCATCTTGCCTCCTCATTTCCCCCCCCGTCTTGCACTAGCCATCTGGACGAGTGGATCCATTGGTTTGGGAGCGTTGGCATCTTACCCTGCCGAAATGCATGCCACATAACGTCTTGGGCGCGGTCGAAGGCACATGCGATATACGCAGACAAGATGCGCCGAAGGCGAACTGGGATGGAACAAAAAGGCCATACGTATGGCGGCGAGCTGATTGGTTGCGGCCCTTGTGTTGTTGCCAGTGCGCGCGCGGTCTCTGAAGACGCGGCATGAACACATCACGCACGTGTGTGTATATGCTCGTGTGCTACGTGGCGGGTTTCTCATGCAATGAGCACTCGCGTGCCTGGTTGTCACACCGTCCCGTTCGCGTGCCCTCCTCTTTCCTTTACACTTCGTCTCCCACCCTTCTGTGCCCTCTTTTCCTCTTGGCTGCCCGATCCACTCCCTCCCCTTCCCCTACCATCCTCATCCTCTCCCCCCCTTCCCTGGGCTCTTCCATCCACTACCCTCGGGACCTGGGTCTTCGGACCCAAGCCGATACATAACTCCACAGTTTCCCCCTCGTACATGCATACTTTCACCTGCTCATGCTGCTTCTCTTTCTGTCCTCTTCCTCATCCTCCTCATCCTCCTGCTCCTCCTGCTTCGTCATTCCTCTCTCGCCCTCTGAACCTGCTTTGGGATGCGTTCTGGCCGTACTTCGAGGGGAATCCCGCCGCGGCAATGAGGAGACTCCCAGAGGCTCAGAAAGGCCAAAGAGACATCCAACAAGCTCGATCTTCGATCCTCGATCTTCCCCCACTTGGCTCAGGGTTTGAAGCATCGACCCCTAGTCGCACACCATTCATCGCCGATGGTGGCCTGATAGCCTGCCCCGCCCAGGAATGTACGGTTTCGCTATCGGAGGCTCATCGCCGATCTATTGGCGATGTATCACCAATTCAAGCTCGAAGTTTCCCACCGTTGCTTCTCCTCTGTCCTGTCTCGCACCATGCTCACGCTGCGCCGTCTTCGGTCCGAATGCACGGCGCCACCTCTCTGTTGGGAGCGTTCGTCTGCCCGTCCCTCCCCTGGAGGCCGACCGACTCGCAGCCCTCGCCGAGGGCCAGGTCCTCCGGCGCCCCCTGCGAGGCCAGCCTGGAGCGGTCCGCGGCGGACGAGGCCGCCGCCGTCGCCGGAGGGTGGGGGTTGGGGAGAGGAGCGAAGGGAGAGGATGGGGCTCAAGAGACGGGGATCAGTGCCAGCGGGGGTCAGCCAGAGCGCCGGATCCTGCAGGATCCTGCAGAGCAGGGGCGCACGGACTCGGGCTTGGGTGCAGGATCCTGCAAAGCCTGACTGACCTGGGTCAGGATTGACCAGGGGCAGCCGATCCCCGAGACGAGCGAAGGGAGAGGATCGGTGAGCCAGGATCGGGTGATGGAGGAGAGCGTGGTGCTCTCAGGAGGGAAAGAAACACACAGACAGTGAGTTGTCGATTCCCCAGAACATATGGGAAAACACGGAAAGTGGGGGGGAAGACAAGAATCCAGACAATATATATATATATATACATATATGGGAAAACATGGGGAATCCAGTTATTCGTGTGTATTTATTTGTGTGTCCCAGGGCCCCTTTCATCTTCGAGGAACAGAAACTGGTAGGCATCGGGGATCAAGAGGAGGCATCAACGTCAACTTTCGGAGCTCCGTTCGGATTTCTTGGATGCGAGCCGGGGCCCCCCTGGCGGCGATCCAAGAAATCCACGCGGACCTCCGACAGTTTAATCATGTTTGTGTTGTCTTTTGCCTCCCAGAAGGGAGAGATAGGATCGCTTATCCAGGATCGTCTGATCGAGGGGGACGTTGTAAGGCTTCGGGCTGGGCGCAGACAGCCCAGCGAGGTAGTCTCGGCCAGCAGGAAATTACCGGAGGAGGCCGTCTGTGCGCCACCATGAGCATCATCGAGAGGAGGGGGTAACTGAGGATCGGTGATCGAGGATCGAGGAGGAGTGGGAGCATAGGTTTCTGTGAGAAGTCAGGCCGATGTGCATGACGATTGCGTTTTGGAACGCATGCTGTCATCTGAAGAACTATTTCATTTGCTGCGATAGCCTTCCCTCCCAAAAGAATCCGGCTGAAAACAGTACATTTGGAATAGTTAATATTTGCATGGTGGCGGAGCGAGGTTATTATGGCAGCATATCCAGCAGTTTCGGCAGCAGTTGCTCCAGCGACGCAGCCAGTTACGCAGGGAGCCACGGAGTCACACACACATCATTGAATGTAAGCGAGTTCGTCAACATTTCCCGGGCGGACTTCGACCATCACAAGTTTGAGTGCGCGCAGCGTCATAGATGAGTTCGCACAATCGGGGGGAACTACGCCTGGGCTGGGTCCAACATATGAGTGCCAGCCCCACCGACGCGCTCACCATAATGCAGGTGTTCGCCAGAGCCAATGTCGCAGTGTCACGTGCATTCTGTAGAGCCCGAGCCCACGAGAAGCAGACGCGCACGATTATACAACAGCTGAGCGACGTGGGCAGCACTAAAGCGCGAGTGGGAGACTCCTAGGCCAATATGAGTTCGCAGTCGCGCACGGATAACGCAGATCAGAAGTTTTGAAGCATTGAATGGTGGAGCTTTGAATATAAAAAAGAAAGTCGCATTCCGTGAGAGCATGATGATTCAGCAATTCAAGATTTATGTGGGTGACCGAGGCACGTGCTGGGAATGTAATGAACATATCCACAAAGCGCTCGTGTAAGTTAGTGAGAGCAATCGCAAAGCCCTCAATGATCTCAACGACAGATTAAGGACACTGGACGAAACCATGCAGAAGACGGACGAGGACTGTTAGGCAGAAGTCTCACGCATGTAGAGTATGAAACATGTGTTGCCAATGTTAAAGCGGAGGATGGCGAGGAGGGTGAGGGCGGGTCACCGGCTTGGGGCATGTCTGTCAGATGCGGACACCTGGTTCACCCTCAAAAGCAAGTTTTAAGGAGGTGCGCCCCGAGGAGGTAAAGGGGAAGGTAAAGGGACTCCACTAGGTGACTTATCAATTGTGTGCCAGTACACATATCTATATACATATATTGGAGGTCGGGGGGTGAGATCGCAGTGTAACGGAGACCCCCAACCGGGAAATCGTTTCATTTCGTTCGTGTCGTGCGTGTGGGCGAGGCGAAGCTGCGTGGGCGCGCGAGAGGAATGAACCCGCCGTTGCTAGGGCGAAGTCAAGACAAATGATTCTCCCCCGTCCGTCCGTCCGTCCGGCGGTGGCTCGCGGTGTTCCGCGGTGTTCCGTGGTGTCCCGTGGTGTCCCGTGGTGTCCGCCGTTGCTAGGGCGAAGTCAAGACAAATGATTCTCCCCCGTCCGTCCGTCCGTTCGGCGGTGGCTCGCGATGTCCCGCAGTGTTCCGTGGTGTCCCGTGGTGTCCCGTGGTGTCCGGTGTCCCATGGTGTCCATTGGTGTCCCATTGAGTGAGATCGATAGCGAGATCGATACTGAGATCGATACTGAGATCGATGTGGTGCGCCGAGGTGTCCCGTGGTGTCCCAAAAAGTGAGATCGATAGTGAAACCGACAGGTGTTCCGTGGTGTCCCGTTGAGTGAGATCGATAGTGAGATCGATAGTAAGATCGATAGTGAGATCGATAGTGAGATCGAGGTGGTGTCCCGAAGTGTTCCGTGGTGTCCCGTGGTGTCTTATGGTGCCCCGTTGAGTGAGATCGATAGTGAGACCGATAGTGAGATCGAGAGCTGTCCCGCGGTGTCCCGTGGTGGCCCGTGGTGTCCTATGGTGTCCCGTTGAGTGAGATCGATAGTGAGATCGATAGTGAGATCGACAAGTATTCCACCCGTGGTGTCCTATGGTGTCCCGTTGAGTGAGATCGATAGTGAGATCGATTGAGCCAGAGGTTGGTTCCCCCACCTCTCCCCCCCTACAACTACAACCTCCTTATCACTCGAAGGGTGGCCGTATAGGTATACAGATGTACAGATGGTGCTCCGCTGTAACCGCAGCCACTCTGTCTTCCAAGATGAACGTGGCGATGTATCTTGACAAGCCTCAGGAGTGCATTGGTAGAAAGTCTGACAACATATGAAAGCGCTTCTTCGTTACCATCACCATCATGCATCCATATTCTCGTCATCACCTCTGGCGGCATGGTGGACGGGCGTTGTAGGACAGGGCATCGGCACTGCATCGAAGACGCACATGCATGGGGCAGTGCGGTACCTGCGCTACTCTGGCGATCGTAGCAACGAGATCACGCCTGTCTGGACGGCGCAAAAGGGATATCTGCCTCGTGTATCGCCTCCACTCACCATCTTTGTGTCCTCCTTTCAACACCTTTCCCCTCCACCTTCGCTCCCCCCTTCCCCTTCCCCCTCCCTCTCGTCCGCCTCCCTCCGTATCATCCCCTCTTCTTTCCAGTAGTCACCCGCCCCACTCCTCCTCTTCCTCCTCCCTCTCCTGCCCTTTCCTGCCCGCCATTCCGTTCCTGCCCCCGCTCGCTTTCCCGCCGCCCATGCCCTTGCAACGACCTCCCAATAAGACATTACCCTGAAGCGACACCGGGCCCGACTTGCTGCGACGTGTGAGCCAGACATCCACGTGTCAAGCAATCCGCAGGCACGGGGTCAAGGGAAAGTGAGCAGACGATGCTACACATCTGACAGCAAGCATTTTTCGCCAACCTAGAAGCGGACAATGCTTTCCATTAGCACAAGACAGCAGTCAATGGAGCAACCCTGAACAAGCATTCCCACGCCACACGCAGCACTGACCACAACTTCCGCATCTGTGCCTGAGGGCCCCGTCCGCCCGCGCCGGCCTTCCAGGCCCCGCACCCCGGCGGACTCAGGCGCGCATTGCCCTTGTCCTTGCCCTGAAGCGGCACCGGGAATAGCAAACATTGTCAAGCGTGTCCATTTTCGAGGTTGCCGCTTCTTCCCCCGTTCAGCCTCTCCCCCCTTTGTTTCCCGACCCGTCCTCCCTTCCTCCTGCCCCGGGCAGACTCACACCTCTGTTTGTCGAAGTGTCTGCTGTGGGGCATTGTATCACGCACACAGTCTTTACAAGTTGGCCCTGCGGCAAAAGTCAGGAAACCTTCCCCCATGTGCATTTGGCATCTAGGCCTGGCAGTATATGGACGCACCTGCTCACAGGCCCATGAATACTCAGACTCACAGATACCCAGACTCACTCACATTCTGACTTACACGCCAGTCGTTTGAAGTCGCTATCTGGGGAGATCCAAATCCCAATCTACTTCGTGCGCCTTCCAGCTTCAAGCATCGGTGCTGTTGTTTGTTGTCAGTCTCTGAGCGGACCCGAACCCAACCTACTTTATCCGACTGGCGGGTGCTCGTGGTGGACGAGGCCGCGGAGCGCTGGGCCCCTCCCGCGTCTCGGCCTGCCAGGCGCCTGGGTGGCCTTGCCCGAGGCCGACGGCGGCGCGACGCCTTCCGCGCCTGCGCGCAGGGCGCCGCGGAGGACGAGGACGGCTTCCTGCCCGCGCCCGCCGCTTTCATGCCGCGCGCCGAGCCGGAGGCCTGGGACCCGCCAGTGGCGCTCGCGCGCTGGCCGCCGCTCTCCCTCCTGCCGCCGCCAGTGGCGCCGCCCCCGGCCGAGCTGGCGGCCGAGGCCGCGCCCGCGCCCTCTGCCCCCGCCCACGCGCCGCTGGACTCGCCCGAGTGGCCCACCGTCGGCTCGGCGCTCCACTGCCGGGGGGACGTGAAGGCCGTGCGCCCACGGCTGCACCCAAGGGCTGCCAGCGGGGTTGGCTGCCAGTGCTGCCCTTCTGCGAGCCGGCTGCGAGCCGGGCGAGCTCGAGCGCCGTCAGAGGGAGTACCGCATCCAGCTGGCTCGGCGGCAGCGCGAGGGGCTGTCGCGGTGGCAAGGCCTGAGGACTTCCACTGGCAGCGAGCCACACGCGCCCGCGGGCGTGGGGAGTCCAGAGGCGCCCTCGCTCGAAGGGTCCCCCTGTGTCTCCCGAGATTGTCTGCAGAAAAAAAAGCACTCAGCCAAGGCTGACTGAGCCCACGCCTCGCCGGGTCAGGCGAGCCCCGCCGACGGTGGCGAACAGACCCGAGTTGCGACAAGGTTCGCAGTGTCGGTCGCTGCATCTGCGCGTGTTCAGTCAGGCATCCCAACGTCTGCCTTGCGAGGGCGCGGCTTCTCTTTGGGTATCGTTGTTTGTGCAGGCGCTGCATTCGTTTTGGCTGAGGGGTAGAGATCGCGTCACAGTCGACAGAGTGTTGCTAAGACGCGCCGTGTTATCGTGACGCGCTTACTCCTCTTACTCGGCGAGCTCTGACGAACAATCTCTCGGTCCTGCAGCTCCCCTTGCTCCTTAATACCTCAATTTCCTCCTCCCCTCTGCCCTGCCCGGCTGCTGGGCTGCTGCCGAGCTTGCCCGCGCAGACGATTCTGTGCCGGCCTGCCCTGGCCGTGGCGCGCCTGCGTCCTCTCAAGGGGAATTCGCTTTTTGCCTCCCCTCCACTCCCCTCGACTCCCCTCCCTCCCCTCCTCTCACTTCGCGGTCTGAGTCCTTCCTCCCTCCCCTCCCTCCCCTCCACCCCCCTCCTCTCAATTCACGGTCTGAGTCCTTCCTCCCTCCTTCCTCCTCCCTCCTCCCTCCTTCTTTCTCGGCGCTCCGGCGCCACCGCCGGGCTCTCGTAGGGCCGTCCCCGCCGGGACGACTGACTGGCGCCTCGCCTCTCGCCTCGCCTCGCCTCTGTTCTCCCTCCCCTCCCCTGTTCTCCCCCTCGTGGTTGCCGGGCGAGGCGCTCGGTCTCCGGGGGCGGCCACCGCGACGGAGCACTGGCTCCGCCCCGTCTGCGCAGGTCGTGCATTTCGAGGCCCGCAGGTCGTGCCAGCTTCGGGGCGGCTGGCCACGCTCTCCTAGCTTGGTTTTCAGCTGGATTCGTTGGGCTTCATGCTCACTTGCAGCCTCGCCCTGTCACTCAGGGGTTTGGGCTTAACTGTGTACACCACCGCCTGGCACACCCGGAATTTGTCCTGGTGCCCTGTTTATTCAATATGAATACTACTCTCCTCCCCCCCCCCGCGTATTGTTTTTTTACACCGGATTCCCCAGAGTTGGGTTTTCGCCTGCATGTTTTCCAAAATGCTGCTCTCGCTGAGGCGCCGGCCTCATTTTCGGGCCCCGCTCGTTCCGAATCGTGCTCCCGCTGCAGCGCTGGCCTCATTTCCGTGCTTCCGCTCGTTCCGAATCGTGCTCCCGCTGCAGCGCTGGCCTCATTTCCGCGCTTCCGCTCGTTCCGATCGTGCTCCCGCTGCAGCGCTGGCGTCATTTCCCGTGCCATGCCACGGCATGCAATGCAATGCTAGGTTGCGTTCCGCTGCGCGATGCCATGCCTTCAGCTGAAGCTGTGATATGCATTGCTTAAGTGCCACGTCGTGCTATGCCATGCTACGCTTTGATCTTCAACGCCATGCTATGCAATGTTATGTTCGGGGCCGCTGTGCGATGCCCTGCTTTGCGTTGCAAAGCTTTGTGATGCACTTCTTCACTACGCCACGCCACGCCATGCTGTGACATACTACGCTTTGCGGTGCTCTTCTACGACATGCCATGCCGTGCTCTACAATGCATCGCGTACCCTTTCGGGATCATTGCCCTGCTCGACATCCGACTGTGCGGGTAGAGAGGGGATCTACGCCATGGTAAGAGATGGGAGGGAGGGGTAGGATGTCAGATATGACGCGAGCGCACCTAGCTTGCCTCTTCCCCCTCCTCTCCTTCTTCCTTTTTCCTTCTTCCTTCGCACAGTTGTTCATTGCGCCCCACTGGGTTGCTGTGCAGTGTGGCCGTGGCGAGCCTCTGCTTTCGCCCGCCTCGCCCGCCCCGCCGCAGCGGCTTGTGGAGTTTTTGTTGTTTCCGTCCTCGTCGTGTCCGGCTGTGTTCATACAGCTCGTGTGCCAGCCGCAGCTCGGTCGCATTAGGCACCTCGTTTTTTTCTCCCTCCCTCTCCCTCTGGTGCTCTCTCCTCCTCACTTCTTCCTTTCCTTTTGCATGCGACACGCACGCTCGCTCATCTTTCAGGCCATGGTCAGTGCATGAGCTTGCCCATCGCAGGTCGGTTCGTGTTGTGCCCTCAGTATGCCTGGCGACCGTTTGATTCGCGCAGCGGTCGAGGCCGAGTCCAGTGAAGTCCAGTGTTCGCGCCCCCTCCTCATAAAAAAAAACGTGGACTCACGTGCTCTGCCCAGCATCCGTGTTTCCATGTCTCAAAGAGTTGCGCCCCGTAACTGATGCTGGCGGTCGGGTATTAGTTGTCCCTCTCCCTCTCTCTCTCTCCCTCCCCCGCTTGTTCTCTCTCTCTCTCTCTCTCTTTCTCTGTCTCACTCTATCTCTCTCTCTCTCTCTCGCTTTCTCTCGCCCTCTTGCATTGCAGTTTGATTGCCTTGCTCCCTCCAGCGCAAACGGTTGCACTTCCTGATTGCATTGGGTTCGGCCGCAGCATCCAGTACAGTTTACGCTCCACACCGCCGCCGTTGCCCACCCGCACCCATTCTGCTCTTCGTGACTTCCTTGTTCGCTTCTTCATCACCCTCATTTCCATGCCCTTGTCCTGTGATGCCCAGGAAGAGGAGCATCCCTCGGCAGACGGCTCCGAGATCGACAGTCCAAAGAGCGCCGCAGAGCGAGAGATGCTGACGGGGAGTGGGCAGGTGGAGGAGGTGGCAGGGGGAGAGAAGGATGAGGAATGAGGGGGAGGGGAGGGAAGAGGAATGAAGGGTGGTGGAGTTCTCGGAGTGCGGCGGGTCCCCGGGGGGGGGGCGAGGGAGGGGGAGGGGTCGGAGGGAGGTCTCTCGTCGACCCGGTAGCAGGTTGCGACCGTCTGGATGGCATCATTGGGAGGTGCCTTCTCATCATGTGTTTTGCGCGCTCTTCGGGAGAGCATCGAAGCTTACATACATGGGGAGCAGCGCATGCAAAGATGCTCGTGCTGTTGCAGGAGATATCCTGGTTTACCCGCCAGGCCGCAAAGCTTTCGCACTTGCATTTCGCGGTCTGGACCAGACAGTTGTCATTTTCCAGGACGCCGCGAGAGCGCGAAGATCATCTCGCTGCGCGCTTCGTGCAACGCGAGGCTCGAACTTAGGCGTCCTATCTAGATTCATTGGGATGTGTTTGGGGATGTCCGCCGTTGCGATTTACGAGCCGTGTCCAGCCCAGGCTACCAGAAAACCATGTGGCTGTTTACAGACCAGCTTTCCAGTCTCAAGTTGGCCGAGCTTGACGGGACCGTCGTTCGCACAAGCTCCATGTGGAGCGGTTGGTTGGCTCCATGGTCTTGAACCCAGCCGCCAAGGTTGTATATTTCTCCATCCGTGCTTGCCCTGAAGGTGTCCCCGCGGAGGTTGTGACGTTTTGGCGGAAGTTGACCGCCGTTTTCGGTAGACGATCTGTGTTGTTTTGTTGCGTTCCGAGGTTTGCAATGCTCGGGGAAGTTCTCCGCCAATTATTGTCGGCGGCCGGGCTCGTGGTTTCCAGCAGGGGTTAGAGAGTAGAGAGATCCTGGAGACTATTTTCAAGTAGAGAGTCGAAGTAGAGAGGAGAGAGGAGAGAGTAGATAGAGAGAGGGAGAGAGATAGAGAGGATACACTACAGCGAGAATAGTGAGTAGGCAGAGGATTGTGATTATGGAAAATACAAAACAACGGCGGAGCGAGTATGCACTCCCTCTCTCTGTCTTAAGCATAACTATACGCTCTTACAGGATCACCTTTCGGGGGCATGGGTGCAGCTTACGATTTACGATTGGCCTCTACGCGTCTATCTATCTGTATATCTAGCGAACTCGATTTCTATCGGTCGATCCCACGCTCTTTCGTTTCGGTCTCACTACTTCATCCATCGGTTCCACTACCAGAGAATATCACATCTATCCGTATGCAAGTACAGATGTCTATTCCCCGAGCATTGTTTTTACTTAAGGGTTCTTGCTTCTGGTCTGAGGTAACTGGGCCCCAGCGGCGGTCCGGCCAGCTCGTCGCCGCCCGTCGCCGCCGTCGCCGCTGGGCCCCGGTGGCGGTCTGGCCGGCTCGTCGCCGCCCGTCGCCGTCGTCGCAGTTTGGCCGCAGTGGCGGTCCAGCCGGCTCGTCGTCGCCCGTCGTCGCGTTTGTTTGCATTGTTTTGCACTGGTTTGCACTTCCTTGCGTCGCTTTGCAATGCTTCTCATTGCTTTACATTGCTTGGCATTGTTTGGCATTGCGTGGTATTGCTTTCGATTGCGTTGAATTGCTCCGCGTTGCTTGACAGTGCTGATTGCCATGGCAGTGCTTTGCTTTGTAACCCCATGCCGCGGATAATAAACACACAGGGATAATAAAGTTCGGGGTTTTCGGGGAGATAATACAAGTTGCCCGCCAGAGCCAGCATAAAGAGATATCAAGAGGAAAAAGCCAAAGATATCTTGAGGATCCTTGGTCTTTGGTCCTCTATGAGACATCCTCAACAATGATTTGTCTCGGTTGAGACATCCTCAACGAACTGCTTGTTTCGCTTGAGACATCCTCGAAGTATTAGTCTGTTTCGCTTGAGACATCTTCAACTTATTGCATATTTCGCATGAGACATCCTTGAAATCATTGCTTGTTTCGCTTGAGGCATTCTCGACAAATCTCTCGTTTCGCTTGAGACAGGTAGGAAGAAGATAAAGAGGAGGAACAGGAGGAAGAGGATGAGAAGGAGGAGAAAGAGCAAGAGGAGGAGAGAAGAACGAGGAAGCAAAAATCCAAAGTTCAAAACTTATTAGATTTAATTTGTAAACGCTTAATGGAAATTCAATTTTTCATCTGCTCGTGTAGGGGTAGCTCATGTGCTTAGTTTTCCCAGGATAATCAACCCCAGCGATAAACAAGTTCAGGGGGGCAGGGAGACAAGAAGAACAAGAAATAGAAATATACATATAAAGAAAGAAGAAAAGGAAGAGGAGAAGGATGGGAAGGAGGAATAGCAGGAGAAGCAGAGCAGGAGGTAGAAGCAACAATCCAAAGTTGAAAACTTGTTCTATTAAATTTACAAGCGCTTAATGGAAATTGAATTTTACATCTGCTCGTGTAGGGTAGCTCATGTGCTTAGTTTTCCCAGGATAATCAACCCCAGCGGTAAACAAGCTCATGGCGCCACAGAGGGAGGAGGAGAAATAATGACAGAGAGAGAGAGAGAGAGACAGAGAGAGAGAGAGAGAAACAGAAAGCAACACAAAGAAAACGAGAAATAACGTGTTCGCTTCGCTTGATGTTGTTATCTCAACATAAGAAGGAAATAACCTCGATGGCGAACTTTGCCAGTGATAATGAAGTTCGGTCTCCGCGCCCTCCGCCTATATTTGAAACCCTTCTATGCCGACGATAAAAAACTCTAACGACTTCAGGGGGGGTACTTTGTTATCCTCGGCATGGGGTTATTGCTTTGAATTGTTTTGCGTTGCTTTGCATTGCCTGGCACGTGGCCTGGTATTGCTTGGCATTGCTTGGTATTTCTCGTCATTGCTTGGCATTGCATTGCTTGGCATGGCTTTGCATTGCGTTGCATTGCGTTACATGGTTTTGCATTGGTTTGCATTGCTGTGCATTGTTCTGCATTGTTACCTAACAGCGAAGACTGATAGGTTTCTAATGGTCTCAAAAGAAAGCATCATGACTCCCCAGGGGGGTCCGGGCAGGATCCGGGGAGAATCCGCGGAAGTCGTTTTAAGCAAACAGTTACACATTTCGTGGTCTTCGAGGTCCCAGAACTCCATTCCCGGGCCACATTCTGAATGCCCGGAGCCAACTGTAGGCCACTTCGTGCTCTTCGAGTTCCCAGAACTCCATTCCTGGGCCACATTTGAATGCCCGGAGCCAACTGTAGGCCACTTCGTGGTCTTCGAGTTCCCAGAACTCCATTCCCGGGCCACATTTTGAATGCCCAGAGCCAACTGAATCCCAGCCCATGGAGCCAACTGTAGGCCACTTCGTGTTCTTCGAGTTCCCAGAACTCCATTCCCGGGCCACATTTTGAATGCTGAGGCAGGCTGAGGCTGAGGCTGAGGCAGGCTGAGGCTGAGGCCGAGGCTGAAGGCAGACTGAGGCTGAGGCTGAAGCAGCTGAGGCTGAGGCTGAGGCAGGCTGAGGCTGAGGCTGAAGCAGGCTGATGCTGAGGCAGGCTGAGGCTGAGGCTGAGGCTGATGCAGGCTGAGGCTGAGGCAGGCTGAGGCTGAGGCCGAGGCTGAAGGCAGACTGAGGCTGAGGCTGAAGCAGGCTGAGGCTGAGGCTGAGGCAGGCTGAGGCTGAGGCTGAGGCAGGCTGATGCTGAGGCAGGCTGAGGCTGAGGCTGAGGCTGATGCAGGCTGAGGCTGAGGCAGGCTGAGGCTGAGGCCGAGGCTGAAGGCAGACTGAGGCTGAGGCTGAAGCAGGCTGAGGCTGAGGCTGAGGCAGGCTGAGGCTGAGGCTGAGGCAGGCTGATGCTGAGGCAGGCTGAGGCTGAGGCTGAGGCTGATGCAGGCTGAGGCTGAGGCAGGCTGAGGCTGAGGCCGAGGCTGAAGGCAGACTGAGGCTGAGGCTGAAGCAGGCTGAGGCTGAGGCTGAGGCAGGCTGAGGCTGAGGCTGAGGCAGGCTGAGGCTGAGGCAGGCTGAGGCTGAGGCTGAGGCTGAGGCTGAGGCTGAGGCAGGCTGAGGCTGAGGCCGAGGCTGAAGGCAGACTGAGGCTGAGGCTGAAGCAGGCTGAGGCTGAGGCTGAGGCAGGCTGAGGCTGAGGCTGAGGCAGGCTGATGCTGAGGCAGGCTGAGGCTGAGGCTGAGGCTGATGCAGGCTGAGGCTGAGGCAGGCTGAGGCTGAGGCCGAGGCTGAAGGCAGACTGAGGCTGAGGCTGAAGCAGGCTGAGGCTGAGGCTGAGGCAGGCTGAGGCTGAGGCTGAGGCAGGCTGAGGCTGAGGCAGGCTGAGGCTGAGGCTGTGACTGTGACTGCCGTTACCGCTGCGACTGTCATCGCGAATGCGACTGCGACTGCGAGAACAGCAGAATTCTACAGTTGGATTCTCATCTGAATCTTAAGGGGAATGCTTCCAGATATGCTCCTACACATCGCTGTTAGGTTGCTTTGCCGGGATAATATTTTATGATGTTATATTCCTTTGCATTGTGTTGCTTTGCATTGCATTGCTTTGTATTCCGTGCATTGCTTTACATTGCGTTGCAGTGCTTTGGATTGCTGTGCATCATTGTGCTGCATTGCTTTGCTCCACATAGATTGCACCGCATGGATTGCACCACCTAGATTGCCCCACATTGATTGTATCACCTAAAACGCACCAGATATATGGCAACACATCATTGTCATGGGGTCCACGCTAGCCGTCTATCTATCTACACACATATATATACATACATACATATATATATATATATATATATATACACATGATCATTTTAAGAAGCGTATGCTGCGTCCCACGGCGAAGTTGCCGCACTTGATGGACATCCGTGGCCATCTGGCTCAAGCCTCGAGCGAACTCCGCCCGGATGTTCGCCGCGGCGCCCGCGGCGGCTGGCGCGCTGTTCCCGGAGGTCGGCCGCGGGCTGAGCACATGGGCTGGCGCTGTACGCCGCCAACCAGGGGCAGCAGTGCCCGGCGTGCACCTGCGTGCC